TAGTTCATTAGAAGAAAAAAATATATATATATAAAATTAAGGAGAACTTTAGTCAAACAACTAAATGAAAAAAACAAAATCACCACTGGTCCAAAGAGCTGTCAAGACACCAGAGAATAAATTGTGGAACTCCACAAGGATGGAAAGGGCTACGGGGCAATAGCCAAGCAGCTTGGTGAAAATAAACCAGCTGTTGGATCAATTGTTAGAAAATGGAAGAGACTAAAGCCGACTGTCAGTCTCGTTGGACGAAGCTCTTGGTGGTCACTGGTGAGGTTTCACTGATGAGGACGGTGGGGAATCGGCCCAGAACTACTCAGGAGCAGCTGGTCGAGCATAAATGAGTACACCCCACTACATTCGTCAGAAAACCTTTAGTTTCCAGTAGGGCTGGGCAATAAATCCAAAATTTATCGTTATCGAAATTTCCGACTCTTCTCGTGATGATGTTTCCCTCGTCAATAAATTAGATAATAAAAAATGAAAAGGTGTGTGTAGGTCAGCAACGTTCATGTGCTTTCAAGGAGCTGCACCACCTTGAGTCACGTAAAAATCGGACTCAACATAATACTCGTGCCAGCCCCATCTAGTGGACAACTTTTGTTTCTGCATACCTGTAGTTGTCCTCATTTATCGTTATCGAGGTGCAATCCTCAATATATCGTGATATTGATTTTAGGCCATATCGCCCAGTCCTAGTTTCCATTCAGAATCAACATATTCTATGAGATACCATACCACAAAATACTCCCACAAATGTGGGCCACTCACTCACAACTCACAAGGAATTCATTTATACCAGAGACCACAGCAGGTTTTCCACATAACGACGACTCCCTCCCGCAGTAATGCATTTGACTGCAGCTGGTGATGTTTATGCTGGGAACTAACCAGAGAATTCCACGCAAATGATCACAGAACTCCATGTGAATCTGTCCTGAAGGAAATAAACACAATTTCTAAGAACTGAGGATGTTCAGGAAGCCACCTTCAAAGGGGATATAACAAACGATTGTTTCCTTACATTTGTATTATGAATCCTGCTGTCAGATGTGGTGACGGAGGCCCAGAACCTGTACACCTGTTTCTGTTCCTCCAGGCCCTGTCTCTGAGTTTTTGGATCAGATCTCTGATTTTTTTATCTGATTTGGTGCTAAATACTGATAAGGTCATTGTAGTGGGGGATTTCAACATTCATGAGGACATTGAAAATGATAGCCTCAATGTAGCCTTTAGTAATATCTTAGACTCAATTGGTTTTACTCAAAGAATACATAGCTCCACCCACTCCTGCCATCATACATTGGACCTTGTTCTGACTTATGGCATTGAGTGTAAGGAAATAACAATCTTTCCACATAATCCAGTCCTCTCGAACCACTTTCTGATAACGTTTGAGTTTTTTATAACTGAGTTTTCGAGACATGAAAGTAAATTTCATTATAGTCGGTCTCTATCTGACAACGCAGTTGCGTCTTTTAAATCAACTGTTCCATCTTTACTGTCCTCAGCATCTCAGAGTAACGTAGCAGAGGGCAATATTTTCAGTTCTAGCCCCTCACAAATTGATGCCTTAGTTCATCATGTTAATTCCTCTTTACGTGTGGCATTAGATGATGTTGCCCCTTTAAAAAAGAAGGTAATTAGGGACAGGAAGTTGGCTCCCTGGTTTAACTCTCATCTACGAGCCTTAAAACAAAACTCTAGGAAATTGGAGAGAACATGGCGCTCTACGCACCATGAGGAGGCCTACCTATCCTGGAAAAATAGTCTTGTGCTTTATAAAAATAAGCTTCAACAAACTAGAACTGCTTATTTTTCAGCATTAATTGAGGAGAATAAGAATAATCCTAAATTTCTTTTCAGTACAGTTGCTAAACTTACACAGAATCATAGCTCTGAGCCATATATTCCCTTAGCCCTCAGCAGCAATGACTTCATGGGATTTTTTACAAGTAAAATTAATTCTATTAGAAACAAAATCTTTAGCATCCTCCCTAATGCGATTTCTTCTTCCTCAGTAAGTGAGGCAGCATCAGAGGTAACTGTAGAACCTCATCTGTGTTTGAACCGTTTTGATCCAGTTAAGCTTTCAGAGTTATCAAAAATATTAGCTTCATCTAAACCTTCAACTTGCATTTTGGATCCAATCCCAACCAAATTATTTAAAGAAGCATTTCCTTTGGTTACTGCCCCATTCTAAATATAATCAATCTATCCTTAGTAAATAGATATGTACCACAAGATTTTAAGGTTGCTGTAATCAAACCTTCACTTAAGAAGCCTTCTCTGGATCCAGATGACCTAATGAATTATAGACCAATATCTAACCTTCCATTTTTATCCAAAGTCATGGAGGAAATAGTGGCCATCCAAGTATGTGAGCATCAAGAATTTGCTTAGTCAATCACCTGACCTGAATGGCATTACATTAATCTCCGAGAACAAAGTAAGGAACATTGGTGTTATCTTTGACCAGGACATGTCATTCAGATCCCACGTTAAACAGGTTTGTAGGATTTCCTTTTTCCACCTTCGGGATATTGCTAAGATTAGAAGCATCCTTTTCAGGAGTGATGCTGAAAAACTAGTTCATGCATTTATTACATCAAGACTGGATTACTGTAATTCATTACTCTCAGGAAGTCCACAGAATGTAGTTAAAAGTCTTCAGCTTGTCCAAAATGCTGCAGCTAGAGTTCTGATGAGAATTAAAAAGAGAGATCATATCTCTCCTGTCTTAGCTTCCCTACATTGGCTACCTGTTAAATTCAGAATAGATTTTAAGATCCTTCTTCTCACATACAAAGCTCTTAATAATCAAGCTCCATCATACATCAGTAATCTGATTGTTCCATACGTTCCTAACCGAGCACTTCGCTCTCAGACTGCAGGTTTACTGGTGGTTCCCAGAATATCTAAAATTAGGATGGGAGGCAGATCTTATAGCTATGCTGCTATAGGCTTTGCTGGAGGACACACTGACCACTTTCCACACTCGACTACTTTCTTCTACTATCTGCTCTTTAACTGTATTATTTCCTGCTATTTCAGCTGTTAACTTTATTTTTTCTCTAAGTGTTTTTCTCCCCAGAAGAAGCTACAATGATGTTCTGCTGAGCTGTGGTGGCCTCATGGAGGGGGCCATCGTCTAGCACACTGCTGCTAACCACTTAAACATTCTCTCTCTCCTGATAATAACTTTTGGTTTCCTTGACTTTTGATGTGCTACTACTAGTTTATCCGTTTAATTATAGATTCACTAGGATAAATACAATAAAGTTTATCTTTCACCGAATAGAATATTTACTAAGACATCACAATATAACTGTAGACACATTACGTGTGTGTGTGTGTGTGTGTGTGTGTGTGTGTGTGTGTGTGTGTGTGTGTGTGTGTGTGTGTGTGTGTACTTGTTTTACCTACCCCGTGGGGAACTTGGCCTGACTGTCTGCATGCTCATGGGGACCCATTTCCCCATGGGGACTTTTTTGAGGTCCCCACAGGCACAACCCCATAGGAAGCTTAAAAACAGTGCATAGAAACGTAATATGCAAATTTCTCTAAAGTCCCCATGTGAGCATTTTCAAACCAAAATCAGTGTGTGTGTGTAGCCATGCGCCCCTAGTGGTAACACACAATATTGCAGTCCCCATCGGCTTTGGTGTTCTTGAAGTGTGTATGTGTTTCTTCACTCGGTGGTGCCATCTACTGGTCAGAATTGGAATGCCAGCTAATATTTATTTGCTCTATTGTGCCATTTACTGGTCAGAAGGAGAATGGCAGTACAGCAATACATTTTTGATTAGGTTTCCATTTTTCATGATAGACATCAAAACAAATTTTACTGCAAGATAAAAGCTAAGCACTGGAGTAAAATATACTTGAATAAAACAAATCCTATTTTATAATTATAAAATCAATATTTTAAAATTCAATATAAGCAGTGAACCTAAACTTTTTATATATGGTCAATAAACCTCAAAAACGCATGAAACTTTTTCAGTGGGTCTTGGTGAGTTCTTAAAACATTATAAATAAAAAGAGCTTTTTTGTTGTTTGATACATTTGATACATTTTGCCCCTTTTAAAAAGATAATAGGAACTAAAGTCCAGACAGCCTTATTAACTTATATAGCCTTATTTTTTACATTGAACTGTTACTGACCCAGTGTTGCATCATTGAATTTCAGTCATCTAATTAAGGTAAACATTTAGAAAAAGTCTTTAAAAGGGCTGAGCCAGTCTAATTTCTTGAGAATTGGAAATTAATTGAATCTATACACAGACATTTTATGAAAGGGGGCACCGTTCATGTCCATGGACAGAGAGGAAGTTGTTTGGACTCAAAAATCACTTTCTGGAGAACAGCTCAGTTAAAACCTACAGCAACAAATCACTACGTCCTCCCTACTATAACACAGCAAGCTGCTGTGTTGCTCTAAGTATTTTTTCTCATTCACTAAAACAAACAAATGCTTTATGCCTTCTAATACAGTCAAAACTAACTACTGCCAACTTAGAACACTGACCACTGTATGGCAAGAAGTATAAAACCAAGATGGGGATTTGAACCTGCAATGACATCTCAATTTTTTTAATGAGGTTCTTTTTGCTTGGGACAAAAAGAACCTCGTTTAACATTTAAAAAGAGGACATAATGAACATTGTAAGGAAACTGCAATGACATCCGTATATATGGCAGTCAAGGTTTCATCCCAGTGAACCACTGAGTGTGACTCCCCTCTATTACAGCCATGTTTTCTTTTCTAAATTCTGAAAAAAGTTTTACTTTTGAACTCAGTACAAATTTTTTTATTTTTAATGAGCAAATAGTATGTAGATGCAAGCAGTCGGAACGAGATGAAACGAAAATAGGGTTCACCTTAGAACCTCATGAGGAGCCTAAGTGTGTTCAGTGTTTCCAATGTAGTTTTTATTAATCCTGCCCATCATATTTATTAAATTTGCACGCAGATCATTATGCAAGACCTTTGGCACAATAACAAAATGTATTTACCAGTTATTTTCCTGCACATTTAGACATATAATTTCATGGGGACAGAAATGGATGGAAATGGCACCCATTCAGTGGAATGGCCCACATCACGTTCGTTTTATTTCAATAAATCAATCCATTGAGTTCTTTAATACTGATTGTATAACCACAGAAGAGCAGCAATGGAGAATTCCATGGCAGGGAACCCGCTCAACACTCACTTCATGCTCTGATGTAAATTGAGGCTTTTAAATAGGTGCGCATGAAGGGCACGCGCTACGGCACGGTCACGGGTGTTTCTGTGGAGATGCTCGTGTGCACTTTGGTATAAATTCGGGATAAAATAATCGCCAGAATTATCATTTTAAAAATGATCGTTAACCCCAGCCCTATATATAAAATAAGTTTTGTATCAATCACATGTATCAAAGCTTCATAAATCAACAATCCGAGATATTGTAATTCCTCCATTTCCACTATATCACAATTATTAAAACCCTCTTGTTGTGTTGTAACATTGTTGCTGTTGTTTTTTTTATTGCGTGTTAGCTCCCAATGTCAAATGTATAAATGAAGAATCGTGTAAAGCACCTTGAATTGCCATGTTGCTGAAGGTGTGCTATACAAAAAAATGCCTTACCTTGCCTGAAAGGCATGTGTGTGTTGGAAATAGGCAAGCCTAAAGGCCACATTTCCTCTGTTGGTTGACCCCTATGACCTTTGACACTTCCTAAGGTGCTGTGACTCTGACATTTTGCACAGTGAATGGCTCAACCCCCATGATGATCAGAATTTATTTTGAGATTCCTAGGTCAAAGCGTTTGAGAGTTAATCATTTTCCCTCCATTTTGTAATTTGGAACAAAAAAGTGAAATGTTGGCCTCTATACAGCAACCTTTGACCCCACTTAGGTTAAACTTAGCACAGGGGATGGCTCTAACCTCCCTGACAACATACTCAAACCTTGAGTTATTAGCTCCAAGTGTTTAAGCGTTATTTAGAAAAACATATTTAACAATGCCTCCTTTAATGTTGGGCTAACAAAGGAGCCGTCACTGACCCTTGCTGTCATGTACACAATAGGTGTGTTTCCACAATCGGAATTCCCGGTAATTCGACCAGAACGTCCCATACTCGCGTATCTCCACTGTAGCCAACCAGATCGTTTTTGGGGCCATTTCGGGGACCATCCGAGTCCCTGAATTCAGGTCTGTACCAAGCCCCAACCTCTGATTCTGAAGACTGTTCCTACCGTTGAAGTGACAACAATTGCAGTTCCCCCATATTGGCTGGTGGCTGGCTGCAGAAAGGAACAAACTCCCATTGTTAATCATGCTAACTTCACAGGAGAAAGATCTTTACTGCCTTGTTAAAAAAATCATATTCAGTTTACCTTCATGACCAATCTGAGTCAGGTGATTTGTTTTATAACTCATCCATTTAGATGTAATTTAATCTTGATATTATGAATAATTAGGGTTGTGGCTTAGACGTCAGCACTAGTGCTGGTTGCTATCGTGGCTAACAGCTACCCCGTAGATGGCTGAGGCTCGCCTGCTGCTCCACAAGGCCCAAGCCTCGCAGTCACAGTAATACTGTGGTCGTTTCTTGGCTGGAGATAACCAGCAGCTGACACTTCCACCCTGCGAAGGAAAGATGCTCTAGATAATGAATATGATTAACCTGATTTAATATTCTTTTGTTTATGCTTAGGAAGCAGAGTTGCGGTTCTCTGCTTAAAATTGCCTGCCAAATCTTGTTAGGTCAAGGTTAGCACCGGGTTAGCTCAGTTTAGTTCCACCGGCTCACTGCTATGGTTGTCAACTGTCCGCTCACCCACTTAACGTTCTCACTCTCACCTCCACCATCTTTAGTAGCTAAGATGGCGGCGGTGGAAACCACCCTTTATGCTTCATCTAAGCTCTTCAGCTATCTGTAACGTTATGGGGGCCCCATCCATCTTTACCCAAAAGCCAAAAAATCCAGACAACTTTCCCTGTAGTTCTAATACTGAAAATACACCAAACATGATATGTATATGTCAGTTATATCACTGCACAGTTCTAGTAGGCCTACATTACAGGTAATACTCTGAACATCCACATTATGATACAGTGAAATTTTACAATAGCAGGTTGCTGTCATTTCCTAAAAGTAGGCCTTCATTATAACTTTTAATGTAGTATTGTGAATTTTTATAGTATCATGCTGGTAGTGATTTGACTAATATATGATTTACTCTGAAATTATTATTGGTCATTATAATTTTGCACAGTACGCAATGAGTTGCTGCATTTTTACAATAGACTGCTATACTGGTTAAGGTTTCTATAGTACACAGCGAAACCACACACATTGTAAATACATTTAATGATCAGACAAAACTAAGAGAAAGGGAGGAAAAAAATTCTTTATTTTATTCTTTTTTTGTATATTAGTTTCTTTTTATTTAAGGCATGTTGGGGTGTTGTGGGACAATGTAAGAATTTCAATTCATACTTTGAATCATAAATGTCATAATAAATGCACCTACAAAATATTTATGTTTTTAGTTTTCTAATTTCTAATTTCATTTAAGGTAATAATTTCAAGAAAACATTTAAAAAAAAAAACTATTTAAACAAATGTCATGGCTATGAAATATTAAATTTGGAGGTGCTTTGGGTTTCAAAGCTCATACATTTAACACAGATCCGGACATTTTAGGTCCCCACTATAACCATGCCCATCCCCCACTCTGCTTGCACATGTGAAAGCATGCTGTTAGCTAACTGCTGGCTAATGAAAAGGAGGCGTTGAATTTATCCACCCCTTCAGTATTGGCCAGGCTTCCATGAACACATAAAGCTATAAAACCATTACAGGAGCATCAGTCTGTCAACAGTAGTCAGCATTTACAACTCCCTAATTAGTTTCACCTACAATAATGATTAGGTTTCTTCCTGCACAATCAAAAAGGTATGTGAAAAAGAATTTAAGTGAGACTGCCACGCTGGTGTGCGCTCGAGTTTAGATCGAGCGCTCCCTTTCAACATGAACACCTGCAGAGCGGTAGCAGTGGCAGACCCACACTGTGCCTCACGAAGAGTAGACATGCGGCGGAGAACCAAGTAAAATGGTAAGTTTTACTTATATTAAGCTGCTAGTTAATCATATGTTGCCTTAAAACAACTTGTAGTAAGAATATTTGTATTGTGGGTAACTGGCTGTGTTATTTGTGTGGGTAACTGGCTGTGTTGTCTTACTAAAGTTTTTAATTTAATTACTTAGTATATCTGATGTTGTTTATTATCTAAAATGTTGAACTTCATAAAAATTATTCCATGTTTAAAAAATACTGTTTTTGCTTAATTTCCTAAATGCTGCGTTCACACTGCCCAAAGTGGCAGGAGCAACCAGATTCTATGTAAAGTCTGTGAGGTTAAAGTGCAGCTGCGTCTCTACGGTGCTTTGCACCAGATGAAGCATGCAGTGGTAATGCAGCATAATATGCAGCAAACTGAGCTTCTTTTGTGTGGAACACTGAAGTGTTCAATTTTGAATAACTAAAACATGAAATAGATAAAAGTTTAATGTAAAACATTTCAAACTAATTGGAATTATTTTTTACATTATTTAAGTTTTTCACAATTGTATTGTCACACAATTTTTTTGGTTTATTTCATAATATGTTATGTGTTAATTTAAATTTCAATACTTTGGTGTTAATCACTTGTGAAACGTCTACATATGTACATATCTTGTGTGCTCCAAGCTCAACTCAGGAGTAGGCTATGATTAAATTTTGATCTGGGTTTGAGTAAAAAAAAAATTTTTCAAAACTGTATTTAGAACTGCAACACTGGAAATGAAGCCATAAAAACAATTATTTGAATTCTTTTTTTCCATTATAACAGATTACTGATTGATATTTTGTGTAACTGACAGGAGAGTGAGCAGAGTTCCGGATCTGATGACGAATCTAAATGTGAAGGTATGAAAGGAAAAGCATGCATCCAAATGGAAATTAAGTTAGAATTGTCTTAACACTAACACTAAATGTATAACAGGGAGAGCTGCGGCTCATGAAGTGCAGCGTGCCTCCTTGGATGAGTCTGTGTCTCCCAGGTCAGATACTGAAGTTTCTCCAAGCAAAATATTGAACCCCGGATGGCCTCCCAACCTACTCCTCACTTGTAAGTGCAACATCCAATTTAAATAAATGATTGCTGACCCACAAATTAGTCAAGATAGCCAATCAAAGCAATTTATCCAAATTTGTGGGGCAATGAATTTTGCTTGAATATTTAAGTAACAGGTCAGTAAAAATAAAATACTGTGTTGTGTAGGTTACTTAAGCTATAAGCAGGTTTATGCTGACTTTCCCTACAAATGCCTTGAATTTTTGAGAAAATTACAGCAGGGCTGAGCTCAAATCATGGTGGTGGCAGCCTGTCACGGACAGTCACAGCAGCCACGAGATTTCCAGCAGACACCCATGGGATTTTCAGCAACAGCAACGGCCATGGCCAGCCACGGGTTTTCCAGCAACAGGCACGGGATTTCCGGCAGCCAGTCGCAGCAGCCATGATATTTCCGGTAACAGCCACGGACGGCCACGAGTTTTCCAGCAATAGCCACTAAATTTTTGGCTGTCAGCCACGGCAGCCATGATATTTCCGGTAACAGCCACATACAGCCACAAGTTTTCCAGCAACAGCCACGGGGTTTTCAGCAGCCAGTCGCAGCAGCCACGGGATTTCCAGCAACAGCCACGAGATTTCCAGCAGCCAGCCATGGAGAGCCACGAGAATTGCAACGAAGCGAGAATTTTTTTTAGCAACAATTGCCACTTGCAACGGGTTGATTTATATATTTTTCCCAGAGTTGCTACTTTAAGTCCCGTGGCAGCCTAGTTTTTTTTAACGTAATTAAATCCGAAAGACTGATATTGAATTTAAAGTCAGACATTTAGGCAACATAACCACATAAGAGAGACAAAAAAATCAATCAGTGCAGTGCCAGTGAAAATAATATAATTCTGAGCTGTTGTTGTAACCTCTAGTTTTCAGTGTTTTACATATAATTTCTGGGTTTTCACTGCAGGTGAAAAGCTTTGCAGTAAAATAACTTTATAGTTGGAGTGATTATAATTTGTCTGTATCATGATATAACATGATTGCCATGATTTTTTAAAAGAACTTTATCGAACAAACAAAAGTTGTACAAGCAAATTCACAAAAGTTATAATCTATAAAGAACATTCAAAAACTAATAAAATAATTGGAGTGAAATTAACAAATAAAAACTGAAATACATAAGAAAAAAAATATAAACCAAAATAAAAAATAAAAACCCACATCTGCTATTAAGATGAAATGAAATTTGAGAATTGAAAGTTTTCCAATATTTCTGATTTTTTTACATTGCCATAAGGAATAGTAATAAAATAAGTAATCAGATTAGATTCTTTGAAATAATTCAGCAGCAGAGACAAATACTCCATTTTGATTTATGTAGTAGTGAGCGACAGCACTGCCCTGACCAATCACAAGCTTGCGCTCTCCGTCTTGACGGATGGATGTTTATAATAGTGGGCTCAACTCCGTACGTACTTGAGTGCCTGCCAGGGGCCCTACGCAAGGACGGATAATGGTGTTGCTTGTCTCCGCACTGATGCAGACGGGGAAGCTTGAATTAGGCTTTAGGTCTCGTTGGAATTGGAAACCTCGTGGCTGCCGCGGCTGGCTGCTGGAAATCTCGTGGCTGACTGCTGAAATCTCGTGGCTGCAGCAACTGGTGGTTGGGAAGCTCGTGGCTGTCCGCGGCTGGCTTCCAGGAATCTCGTGGCTGTCCGTGACTGGCTGCCACAGACACGATTTGAGCCTGCTGTCTCTCGAAATTTATTTGAAAATGGTAGATGGCCAGCATTTGTATAGCCCTTTAACTACTCCTTGAGGACCTCAAAGCTTTCTCAGTCTTACATAATATTTGCCATCAATTCTTTATGACTCAATTCCTAAATAAATAATTAGAATAAGTGTTTTGCATACAGTATAAACATTAGCAATTAACTGAAACTCCTACTGGTGTTTATTCTCATCTGTCTTTTTTTCTTCCTCAAGCTGGTTCTGATTAGATTGAAATTACACTTCTGCCAATCATAAGTTTAAGTATTAAGGGCTTACACAAAGGGGTAAGGATGTCACATGGGATTAAGCCTAAACATGGATTGCTATTAACATGGTTCAGATAGGACAGGGGTGTCAAACTCCAATCCACGAGGGTCGGTGTTCTGCAAAGTTTGTGTTCCAGTTTCAACACACCTGAATTATATGCTAAATTGCCTCCTCAGCAGGCAACTAGGTTATATGGGGTTATACTTCTGTCCTAATTGTGATTCAAGTGTGCTGAGATGGTATGACTTTCTGCCATTTTCAATTTAACAGTGCCCTTAGCTCTCAGACTGCAGGTTTACTGGTAGTTCCTAGGATTTCTAAAAGTAGAATGGGTGGCAGATCTTTCAGCTACCAGGCTCCTCTCCTATGGAACCAGCTCCCAGGATTGGTTCGTGAAGCAGACAACATGTCTGTCTTGAAAAGTAGGCTGAAAATCCTCTTCTTTGACAAAGCTTACAGGTAGACAGATTACTGTTAATAGCTCCTGCTTTAGGCTATGCTGTTGAAAGACACTGACTCGTTTTCTTCCCTTTTACAATTCCTTAATTGCATTATTTGCTGTTATTACAACTGCTAACCTGATCTGGTGCTCTGCTCAGCGGGATGCCTCAATGAACGAGGGCCTTCACTGGGCTGGTGCTCCAGTGGTTGAATGTTCTCCCTGTCAACTTGTGAACTTTTGCTCCTGCATCAGTTCTGTTATTCTTTCTGTGTCTCTGCTCTGTCTCCTCCAACCATCAGACGGTCTCGGCAGATGACTGCTGGTACGGAGCATGGTTCTGGTGGAGGTTTCTTCCTGTTAAAAGGAAGTTTTTCCCTCTCCACTGTTGCTTCATGCTTTTTAGTGAGAGGGATTGCTTGGGCTGAATCCGCATGTCAGGGTCACAACTGCTGGGCAATTAAACAGTTGTCTGGGATAGAAAACTTTAGAACTGAGCAAATATATAGAAATGTCTGTCCTGTAAAGTGCCTTTAGATGGCGTTTGCTGTGAATAAGCACTGGAGAAATAAACTGAATTAAGTTGACTGAACCTGGAACCAAGTTCTAATATAAGCTCTTAGTAAATTGTTTAAACACTTGTTTTTTAAAAGGTGAAACAGTTAGGTCTTTGTCTTTTCTTTTCCAGGAAGACAGTCATCACATTCAGCGTTTGAAGAAACTGACAGCTCATCATGATAAATGTGAGCGCAGTTTTGAGAAGGCTTATGCAATGCAGACAAAGGAGGAGCAGGACAGAACATTAACGTTGCATCATCAACTGAACATGAAGGTTGGTGCTATTTGACGGCTAGATAACATCGCAATAAAACAATTTAAAATAACAATCCAGCAGAGTAGAGTTTTTTAAGATGGGTTTCGAATGTTGTTTCTGCCTGTAACAAAAAATATCTAAGTGAAGGTTTTGGTGTAGCTCTTTAGTTGGACAGGAGGGTGGTAAAATAGATAAGATTTTTTGCATGTTGACCTGGCACCAAACCAGTGCTTAATTCGGAAATGAAACGTTCCCGGAACGCAAAAAGTGACGTCACACCAAACTTCACTAAAGGCAAAACAGATGTCGTAGCACGCACAGGGTTGGGGTGGGGGTGGGGGGTTGTTCCGGTTGATTCGCTGGAGTTTTTGACAATTAAAAATTGCGCCCACATTTTCAAGTTAAAACACATTTCTTTCAACAACAGTAGTTTTTGCATCATTACTGTTCCCCTGCTTCAGCCCTCCTCTTCATGCGCAGCAGCCGCAATCTCTCTGGTGTTCCTGCAGCCTCAGAGTTCCTGCTGCTCTAAACATTGAAAGAATAATTTCATTTTCTGTTCCTCACTTCTGATTATTTGCAATTGTGTCTGTTTGTTGCAACCACCAGGTACAAAAATGAACTTGTTTTTATTTGACTATTTTTCTGTCCTGTCTCTGTTATCTTCCTGCATCTCCTCTCAATCCTAATGAAAAACTGCTACATGTCTTCATGTTTTTCACCTCATAAATTAACTGTAGTTTAAAAAGATCTACGGACCGCAAAAATAGCAGAGTGTGCACCGGCCGCACCGGTAAGGTGCGTCACCGGAGGACAAAACTGGTGATGCACTCCGCTCTGCAGCAGCGAAACGCATCAGACACAAATAAAAGACAGAAATAATTAAAGGATATGAGCCGACATGAACGATCACATGTTAACTTGGTTTTTGGGGTGGCGAAACTTTGAGAATGTTACTGTGACCGTGCTCAGGACACATCTGTCTGGAGCGCGTACGAGCTCTGCGACTCTCAGCTCTAAATAATCCCCGGAGAGTCCACATGAATAATGTAATATAAGTAGAACCAGGATCGTTTTGGGGCGGTTGTACAGGGTGTGAAAGCAGAGGGCTGCCAGGGGAGCCATCCTTTGGGGTGAGCTGAGATCCCTTTAGCTCACCAGTAATTCGAACCCTGTGTATAGCACAAGTTGGTCGCGTGAGTTGCCGGATCCTAGCAGACCGTTGCTCAAATGGTCCTTTCAAAATAAGACAGTTCCCGGATGTTGTTCTGGCAAGATCCGGCTCAAATTAAGCACTGCGCCAAACCATACTTGCCTTGCTGCTACTGTCGTACTGAGGTTTAATATTTGTTTCCATCCCAACTCAGTTATTACATGCATTTTTAATAAATGTAACTGTAGTAAGTTAGCCTTGAATGGGACGCCTACTATATTTTGTTAGTCAAAAATGTTTAGTTTGTTTTGATTTACAGAGTTCCACTGGAATAGACATTCCAAAAGTTATTGCTAACCACTTCACATCATTCTTCTTTTTTCTTCACAAAATTAGGGTCATCATCTGAAAGTGAAGATACCATCACCCTTAATGAAACTCCACCTGATGTGATCCAAGATGACAGCGTTCCTATGCTCACAAGAACCCAAAGTGTAATTGTAAGTTTGTCTTCAAATGTTAATGTATAATCTCAGTTAGGGTTGTCACGGTGTGAAAATTGAACCTCACGGTTATTGTGACCAAAATTATCACGGTTTTCGGTATTATCGCAGTATTTTTTAAACGTGTTACATTTTCAGACAACTAAATAAACCCTGTATATCAGGAAAATATTGTCCTCAGTTTGTGTCTATATGTTGCCTAAAATTTGTTATTTTGTAATTATGTTGTTTATTTGTTTACATTTTTCCCCTTTAGTCTTTAAAATACAAATAGTTGCCCATAACTTTTTATTTTTTGTCTGTTGGATGTCATCATTTTAAAAAATATTAGATCAGATGATACTCAGTACTCAAGTAGCCTTCTAATCAGATTCTCCAATAGCATATTTACCTTTATCTAATGTATTAATTATTCCATTGGTTGCTTCCATTATTGCAAGTGCTGTTGTCCTCTTTTCTCTGAATCCGTACTGACTATGGTTTAGTATTTCGTGTTTATTTAAAACGTTTTCTAGTCTGATATTAAATAGTTTTTCCAGGATTTTTGAAAATTGAGGAAGAAGTGATGCTGGCCTGTAGTTGTTAAATAGATGTTTATTCCCTTGCTTAAAAATTGGTATTACTTTAGCTACTTTCATTTTCTGAGGAAATAAACCAGTTTGGAAGGATAAGTTAAATATAAAAGTTAATGGTTTTAGAATAACATCAATAACTCTTTTAAACAACACCATATCAATACCGTCACAATCAGTGGAGACTTTGTTGTTACATTTATCAACAACTGATTTAACTTCCAACTCATCCACTGCTGAGAGGAAGATTAGAGTCAGGGTAGTTTTTTTTTTTTTTTATCAGTGGTTCACTTATTGTCTGTCTTTTTTGGCTTGGTAGCTCTGGGCCTACATTCACAAAATATTCATTCATTCTATTAACTACTTTTATTTTATCATAAATATCACTTTGATTATCAGTAAAGTATTCAGGGTATACCATTTTCTTTGTCCCACCATTACTTAATTTGTTTAGTACGGTATATCTCAGACACCTTTTAAGTTATTCTTATTTTCATTTAGGATTTTTCTGTAATAAATTTTTATACTAGTTCTTATTATTTCAGTTAATTTACTTTTGTAAACTTTATATCTGATTTCAGCTTCCTTAGTTCATAGTTTAATAAAATTCCTATAAAGACTTGTTTTGCTTTTTACAAGCATTTTGGAATCCTTTAGTTAGCCATGGGAGATTTTTATACTTATGACTTCCATTAATGACCTTGACTGGACAATTCTTATTGTAAAGTGTCTTAAATATGTCAATAAATTTACTATATGCCATATCAACGTCATCTTCCCTATAGTATACATCCCAGTCTTGGGACATCAATTCCCCTTTAAATGCAGCAATTAAATCGTCTGTTCATAATCTCTTATATATCTATTTCCCTGATTTTCTTTGACACCTACTTTCTTTAATTCCATTGCTGATGTCAAAATATACATATATAGGTAAGTGGTCACTAATATAATTTATTAGTATGCCACCTGCCATATTTTTTTCAACACAAATTGTAAAAATATTGTCAATCAAGGTTGCACATTGTGCCGTAATTCTTGTTGGTCGTGTGATCTTCTGGAACAGGGATAAGCTATACATCATGTCTAAGAAATCTTCAGTATGTTTATGCAGTTTTGACTTCATGAGATCAATGTTAAAGTCCCCACAGATGAAAATATCCTTTTGGCCAATTTTTGTGTACATTTTCTCTATACAGGTTTTAAACTAATCCATATCCGATCCTAGGACTCTGTATATACAGCTAACTAGTATATTGTAAAGGGTTAATTTACATTTATTTAATGAACCATAAGACGTAGGGCTGGGCGATATGGCAAAAATAGAATATCACGATTTTTCCAATATTTTGTCACGATTTCGATTTTATCACGATTTTTTATCCATGAATAGCATAACTTCAATTGCATATTAAAGAAGAGAAACATTGAATAAATAAACATTTATTCATATTAGGGATAATCAGCACAGTGCTAACACGCTTATATTTTAAACTCACACCAGAGATGATAAAAGCCCTGAGAGAAACTATTACAAAAATCAGTTTTTCTCGTTTTTCAAGTAACTTAACATAAATTAAAATCGAAAACATATTTAAAGTGCAAACATGTCAATTGCAAACGTATTGTGCAAACATTAACTTGTTAAAAATACTATGTAGCTCCCAGTTGCTCATGTAGTGGATAGTTAAGCTCAAATACGGCTCTGCTGTGCGGCTGGACCAGAGATCGCTTGTGGTAGCAAAAAACTGCGCATTCTGAATATTTTCTGCAACAAGTCTAAGAAAAGTAAAATTTTCCAGTGCAGATTGGAGACAACCCATAGAAGCACTGATTTGATCTCATTTCAGAGAAAAATAGAACAGGTTAGATGCACCTAATAAATAAAATTACTAACAAACTCAGGAATGTTTCTATGCTTCACTGTTCTGGTGCTGAAAATATCACTAATGCGGATCAAAGGAGATACACAGATGAATGCACCTCTTATTATTTGGAAACTACATTTACTGCAGCTGGCAGAGGCAGAGATTGTTTCTATTGATACACGGAATTTACAGAATCATTTTAAATTGTAATAGGGGAAGACTGCTGGAGGGAGCGGTAAAATACAGGGGGTCCCAGCAAAAACAAGAAACTACGAGTCTGATTAAACCCACTGGTTTTCCATCAGGCAGTCACGGGGCAGCTCCAACGACCCAGTGGCCGAGGCGAGCTCAGTCCGGCTCAGCAGAGGGTGAACGAGCTGAGGCGATGTCATGCTCTGCTTAAGAAGAAGTGTTATTTTCCTGCTTCAGAAGAAGCGTCCAACATGTTTTTACGCTTTCTCCAAGACATGTCACATCGCTAAGTTGTTAGCGCTACGCGCTAAGGAAACCCTGCGTTCCTCTTCGGAACGAAAACCTCGTTGTCGCTCAGCCGCGGCCGAAGCCATGTTTGTTCACACACAGGTGAAAACAAGTGGGGCACTAATATATTACTATGACTCACTCTGATTGGTTAAGGGTCAAACAAAGGCATGTCATTCGCCTGAGGTAAGTTCAATTTTCATTTAGAGGCAGAAATTCAACAGCAGAGCTGTGAATTGTGATTAAAAAGGTCTCTCAAAAATGACAGACCGTCAGATGTGTAGATCGTAAAACGGTCTAAAATCGTCATATCGCCCAGCCCTAATAAGACGTAAGATTCCATAGTAAATATGAAATCAATCTTATGGATCTTTGGGTACTTTTAACCAGAAGATTGGAACTTTTTATTGCAGGGACTATGTAACACTTCGTATTAGCTGAGAGACAACAGAAGAGCGAGTCACCTTTAAAATTTAAGATTTATTTCTAAACAATTTTAAACAAGATTAACTCTAAATTCTAAGTGAATGGATGGATCTTAGTGTGAATGAGACATGAGATGAGGGTTAGGGTTAGGCTTAAGAGCTATTAAATTCTTTATGGAGCACACCCTTTAGTTATTATCCTGATGCTTTACCAAGATGCACCAGCGGTAGACTCCCAGAGATCGGTGCACAGCCCGGAGGCCGGGCCTGGCCTGGTGGTTGGAGCAGGGCCTAGTCTGGTAGCAGGAGCTGAGCTTGTAGCCGGGCCTGGTCTGGTAGCAGGAGCAGAGCCTGTTGCTGGAGCAGAGCCTGGTCTGGTAGCAGGAGCAGAGCCTGTTGCTGGAGCAGAGCCTGGTGTGGTAGCAGGAGCAGAGCCTTTTCTGGTAGCAGGAGCAGAGCCTGTAGCCGGGCCTGGTCTGGTAGCAGGAGCAGAGCCTGTTGCTGGAGCAGAGCCTGGTGTGGTAGCAGGAGCAGAGCCTTTTCTGGTAGCAGGAGCAGAGCCTGTAGCCGGGCCTGGTCTGGTAGCAGGAGCAGAGCCTGTTGCTGGAGCAGAGCCTGGTGTGGTAGCAGGAGCAGAGCCTGTTCTGGTAGCAGGAGCAGAGCCTGTAGCTGGAGCAAAGCATGGTGTGGTAGCAGGATCAGAGCCTGTAGCAAAACCACTGAGTGACAAGCTGGAGAGCTAGGGGGAATGAGTCTCTTGAATTGTTAAATTCATAATTATTCTTGGAGAGAGACCAACTCTTATCTGCCCCTTGGAGCCCCGTAAGGCATAGTGTAATTTCAATATGGGGGCGTCCGCGACATGGTTTAAATGTAGATAGCGTGCACTGCAGCTGCTTTATATGGTGACTCGTTGCATTCTCCCTCAACCCAAATCCTCGGATCACACATTTTAGCTACAACGTTAACTTGCCTTGCATTGATTGTAGAGTGGTGGGTGATGGTCACGCAGATGTGTCATGAGATTTGAAGCGTTGCTTCCTTTCACAGACACTTTTTCCTGCACGTGCTGCAAACAGGATAGCCATCTTCTATCAACTGTCCCTCGGCATTCTTCAAATATCCAAAAAATGCCCATACTTCCCACTTTGTCTTCTTTGAGGGATAATAAATGTCCTGAGCGCTGCCGTCTCCTCCTTTGGCCATTATTTCAGCTTTAGCTTCAAGAAAGTTTTGGTTGTAAATAACAATGTGCGCATGTGCCACCGGCAACTTCAGCAGATGATACGGTGGCTGGTAAGGGTCACCGCCCCTACACCGCAGCCATGGTAATCCACCGAGATAATACATTTTTTTAAAAACAAGACGATCATTATTATTGTCAACTTTTTTACCAGGGTTTACCACTACACCGGTTACCGTGACAACCCTATTCTCAATCATTAAGGACATAATTATGAATTGAAAAGAAAGTAACTGGACTTCTTGTCTTGAAAATGTTTCGTCTTTCTTCCAAGAGACTTCTTAAGAACTGAAAAGTCCAGCCCCTATCCTTTTAACTCAAGATTTGCCTTTTGTCAAACTAGAGCTGGGAGATATAAGACTTGTCATTCACGATACATCTTTTTTCCTTTCAGGTTATATATATATATATATCACGATATAAGTCAAACTACTCTATATGTAAAATTTAAATGTGCCATTGCTTTTAAGTAATATGTGAAATCATCATAAGTTTGTTTTGATTTAAATATTTAGTTTCCTGTCAAAGGTTCAGCAAAACAGTCGTACTGAGGGAACATAACAGATCTGTTTCAGATGACTAAAATAAAAAGGTTCATATTAAAAACTAAATAAAGTCAGGACTAAAGCGTTCTAGTTTACAAAGAGAACACAAACATGACTTAACTGCTTGGTCAACTCCACTTAGAAACAAAATATCAATTCTAAAAATAAATCTCAGTGTACAGTAAGTTTTACAGGAGAATAGACATAAAATTGACAAAACTTTCGTCAATATCAAATGAATAAGCTAAGAACTAAAAGCAAATTATCCCAATCTGTCCTTGTATAGTTTTTTTAAATAGTTTAATTCAGTTGGCTATGAAAAAAGGAGGGAAGAACTATATTGCGATAGTCTCATTTTACTATTGAAAATAGGTTATATTGCTAAACATATCATTATTGTTTTATTGTCCAGGCCTATGTCAAACTTTTACTGAATTGTATGAGATCTTCACTTGCTGCGACTCAGGAACACATTAAACAAGTTTTTTCCTGTAATCATCACCCCATCCATCACTCTTTACTAGGGCTGG